TGTATTAAACTAAATATACCCACCAGTGTCACTATAGCAATCAAATTTTTAAAAAGAATAAAAAAATAGACACATTTAAAACAAACTACAATTTTGGCTGTGGATGTGGTGGGTGTGGTGCATTTCACACACAGCTATATGCCACGATTAGGTCTCACGCTTCTTTGTGTTTAGGAAACGAGAAGAAGAGCAGCGGAGAAGAGAAGCCGTGCAACAGGTTTCAGTGTCCGCTGCAGAGAAACGGAAGGTCTCTTTGATGAGAGCAGAGCAGGAAAAGATCTCCCTTGTCAGCACGATGGAGGACTTATCCATGAATGACAGTGTGGTGGAAACAAAGAAATCATCCAAAGCTGAACGCGCAAAGAGCAAAGAGGAGAGACACAAAGGTACAAATGCAGAAGCAGATTGCAGTTTGAATTGTGAATTATGTTTTGATACTTATGATATTGTTTCAGCATTAGAGATTAGAGAGATTCAAGGATTTTTTATTAATTTGTTTATTAATATGCCTCTTAAATCCACCCCACCAGCCCACAAGAGCAGATCCTCCAGAAGAAGTAAAGCAGCTGAACTACAGGAGGTTCCTCAGGCTTCGAGACACCACACTCACGTTACCGGTGACACAGTGCCCGGTGCTCCCCAGACCACCAGGCTGAAGGAACTTCTCTCTCCTGCCAGCTGCAGCCAGCCACCCAGCCTCAAACCCAGACCCCCCTCCATGCCCAAAGTCAGGGAACGACCTTCCTCAATCACAAGCATTCCTTCTACCAGTGTCTCCTCTATGGACCAAACTGAGGCAACTTCCAAAGAATGCATGTCTATAAAAAAGAGAGACACTCACACGAGTATGCAGGCTGCCCCCGGCAAAACTGATGCCCACACCTCTCAACAAAAGCACAGAAACCACAAGGAGCAGACTTCAGAGAGGGCTGCCACCAAAGACCAAACTCACACTCCCTCATTAAGAAGTAGTTCATCTTTAGACCACAAAAGCCCCTCAAGAAAGACTGGTGCACATGTACCGATCTCAACACGCACACACAGGGGACACGACAAAGAGCAGCGGAGGAGGAGGAACGAGGCTGCACGTATCATCCAGCGAGCCTGGCGAAGGTGAGTTTATGCGTTTGCATTTTATGTTGGTACCTGGAGGGGTGCTCAGTAGCTGAAGCTTCTGTGGCTGTGGAAGATTGCCATGTGGTGCCCACATGTGCCCTCGCCCTCATACATGCCAACTGGTTCTCATCTTTCTCTAACACCGCCTCATCTTCGGTCTGGATGCCATCAACACTTGAGCAGTGGGGGGGAGAGCGTGGGAGATGGGTGAGACAGGGATGCAGGGGACAGACGGGCTATAATCTAGAGCTTTCATACTGGTTTAACAAGAGGCTAAAAGTTCAGCCGTGCTGCTCTAATAGCTACCAGCAGCCTCTCTTTGCTTTTCTCCCCTTCTTACACACTCTGTGTTTCTCTTAGACGCTGCCAGTACACCACAGGAGGCCCTCTGTTTCCATTCAGCTTCACAATTATATTCTGTATGTGCTGCCTATTAACTGCCTTGAATAAACTCTGTTTACTTTGTTTATGCTTAGTGAGTACTAGTGTGAGGATTTGCCAGGTTTTGGACCTTTGAACGCTGTCTGAGATGTTTTTTATTGAACAGCATGCATGTGTGTGCGCTTGCATGGATATGTGTCGGCAGGTTCCACACACGAACACGGAGAGAGGTGAAGGTCTGCGAAGAGGTGGAGTTGAGCTATGCCCAAAACAGGAAGAAGATGGATATCAGAGCTCCACCTGCTAAACTGGCTATGAGTAAGAGCTCTGTGCTTCAAAGTATCTATGGTGAGATAATTTGCATACCATATTTATGATGGACATATACATATATATATATATATATATATATATACATGTACGGTATGTTCAACAAACCAGAAAACAGGAAGTTGGAGCAAAAGGAAAAACAACCTTAGACACTAAAACAAAATAACACTTACACACAAAACATCACATGTATCATCACATGCACATACCTTTTCCCCAGCGCACAGAGCCCCCTTTCCAAAAAACCCACCCCTCTTGAACCATTGCACTAATATTACTTCAGCACAACTGTTAACAGTAACTGAGAGCAATGCTGCAATTTAGTGTAATATTGTACTAATGTGGGTTATGGTACACTGCTAGAATAATGATTTCAGTTCCAGTGGGCTTCAGTTGAAGTAAAAAGGGAGTCGGAGCACAAACTTGCTCACAGGTGCTAACGTCAAAGAACCGTGAGGAATCGCTTTTTTGGTGGTATTTTTGTGCCTTTATTAGAGATTTAACTGTAGAGATTTTCGACATTTTCATTCATTTAGAGATCTGATAGTGGAACAGTGACAGAAATGAGGGTAAACAAAGATGCAGAATGACATGTATCAAAGGTCTCTTGCTGGATTTGAACCAGGGACCTTGCTGTTCATGGTGGGCTTGTTAAACCCCTAGGCTACTAGGGTGTTCAGTGAAACTCTTAGAATCACACACTGAGCAACAGCAGTTTCTATCCTTATCAAAACCATAGCTCTTGAATTGCATGAAAACCCCAAACAGACTGAGATCTTGTGGGATAAAAGCTGGAAGTCAGGATGGTTGTCATACCATTGTAGAGGACGCTGTAAGTGACTAATTCCGGGAACAGGAACTTGTGTAAATGTCTGGATGATGCTTCAGTCCAAATACCAGGACAGAGGCAGCCTGGTTGCCTGTGTGGAACCTCTGGTAGGGTTTTGCCCCACAGACAGGCCTGACCTTCATCACACATCACCAGGTGATGATGGCAGGACGGACAGAAACCTTGCTGCGCCAAAACATATAAGCACGCACGCCGTCTCAGCCCACAGATGGACAGATAGACCACTAGACCCCCCCCCCCCAAAAAAAAAAAAAAAAAGTCCCTCCGTACCAACCTTCTGACGTGGTTTTCCCCTCCCCCTTCTCACCTCACCTCCCTCTTTCTCTCCTTCTCTCTCTCTGACAGTCCTGGCACTGTGAAAAGTTCAGAGCTGTCAGGGGGAATGTCAAACGACTGCGTCGAGCTATCTGCAGGACACACACACACACACACACACACACGCGCTCTCATTTGCACCCTCATTTTTTCGGAGAAGTAGACAGAGATTTGATACACAACTCGACCGGATCACACCGCTTGCTTCATCATCATAAAGTATTGTTAGATTGCCTTTTAATTATTTTATTCCAAATATATCTTTAATATTGCTTCATCTATTTGTAGTAACACACATGAGGGAGAGAAATTTATTTTTGCATCACAGATAACAAAATTGTGTCAGAGAATGGCTGTATGCAAGTTCAATTGATATGTCAATTAGTGCAAATATTTGTTGTAAAAATACAATAAAGCCCAATTATTTATTTCCACTGTAAACTTGAATACTAGACAATCACTTAGACTGTACACACGAATTGAAGTGGTGAAGTTTACATGTTCCAAGCTCTCTCAATAACATGAAACAAGCACCAAGTTACGGAGATCATTTTTAAGCTCCATGACATGATCAACTTCAAACTTGTTGGAGGATTATTCTATTGTATTGCCGCAGAATAAAACAATTATGGAAAACAGGTTGAACTCTATGTGAAACAGTATTAAATCTGATCAAGTACCTCTAGTAGAATACCTGCAAGCATCACAAATCAGTGATAAATCAGTCCCTTAATAACATTGGCAGTGTTTTATTCATGTAGGGTTAGGATTAGTTCGTCTGTGATCACTACAGATACAGTAAAACAATAATTTTAGGCCCCAGCGAGATTTGAACTCGCGACCCCTGGTTTACAAGACCAGTGCTCTAACCACTGAGCTATAGGGCCTTTGTTATAAGTGCCATCATCAGGTGATAATATAAAGACAACACCTTCAACAAGCATGGGTGTGTATGACCTGACTAGATTGACAGGTTACAGGAGTGTCCTGAGCTTTGTTATGCAACACGAGCTAGTTGAATTCAGGAACTGTTCAAATGCTGTAACTTAATGGAGATGTCTTCCAAACATTTTTCTTTACTGTCCTTTAGGCAACTCTATGGCCAGACGAGGGCGTTCACTTCGGGGCTCTCAGTCTCAGCTGCTCCTGGAGATGCCACTACGCACTCAGAGCCAGTGTAAGTGTGTGTTCACATACACAAACACACACTTTAGATCAAGTAAAAGACTCTAAAAAGGTAATTTTGTGTACTTATTTTACAGTGAGCGGTATAGATTGTGTACACCTGACGGATGCGATGGATCAAGCCAAGCAGTTTTCTTACCACCTGAGACCACATAGTGCTGGACAGGGGACTAGAGGACGGGGAAAACATTGAAGCTTCACACACACATTCACACACACACCTCATGCGCTTTGATGTTTTCTCAGCTGGCTGGCAGCCTTACCTCTATAGAATTACGATACACATTGTTCACTCAATGTGCCAAGCTTTCTAAAATTAAGCCATATGACATCAGAGCCATGACCTCACAGGGTGGGGTTAAGTCTACAGAAATGGTGTGTTTAAAAGATAACCTTTCATCCATTGTGGAAGGAACACATACACACTCCATCTCTCTCGTTCTCCATCGCTCTCGCACACACACTGAGATAACCTTTCCTCCTGCTGTGGAGAATGAGGCAGTCTATCAACAGCCAGTCATACAGATAGCCCACCTGCAGCCACACACACACACACACACACACACACACACACACACACACACACACATATATAAGTTACTTGCTACACATCGGTATGGTCTTTAAGTGCTTTCCCTCTCAAGAGAAAGGTGTATTTCTGAACTATGCAGTTCTTATTTACTTATGCATTTGCACAAAAATAATCCACGTTGTGTAATTTTAGAAATATACCTCAGTGTTTGTTGCTTTTTAATTGCATCATAAGAAATAAAAAATAAAATTGAAACAGGGGCAGTGCACTTTGATTTAACTTTATTTTGCCTTTATTCTGTTTTTTTTTTTTTCTTTTAGTTTTGTTTTTTTTAATCAAAAGTCTCCAGGTACCCCAAAAACAACTGGGCAATGTTCTGCAACAACAATAACAACAGTGCTCAGAAGAGGCAAAATGTCAATTAACAGGGTAAGAATGAAGCAATATAGAGGCAGCTTAAGACAAGAAAAACAGCCAAAGTTCTTAAATAAACTATGTGGACTATTCATTGTCACTCACAATAAAAAAATTTTTTTCCATTTTATGTGTCTGAAAGTATCGTCTGATGTATTCGTCAGTGCTGAGAGCTGTGAGTGTTTCGTTTGACAATGTGACTGTAAGATGTTTCAGAGGGTGAACTGAGGAACACACCAGGTACTTGTCTGGTGGGTGTATCGGTCAGTACATGTCTCGAAGGCCCAGGTTTCCACGGTGAGCAGAGGAGCCATGAGCCACAGTGAGGCTGTAACAGTAGAGTAAATCCGTCAGCCACTGCTCCCTGGTTGCAGCTCGGGAGTGCCTCTGAAACACACACACACACACACACACACACACACACACACACACACACACACACACACACACACACACACACACACACACACACACACACACACACACAAAGAAATCATGAGAGATTAACATAGACATGACATATTACGAAAGCCTTAAAATGCAGCTATCAGTTACGTGTTTTTGCTGTGTTTACCGTGAGCTGTTGTATGATCTCCTGCAGCAGAGCAGCATTGGCCAGCAGCTGGTTGTGGAGTGGCGCGTGCTGCAGCAGCATTGACAGGATCTGCCCGAGCTGTGGCAGCTCCTCCTCACTCAGATCTCCAACACGCAATAACTGCAGAACAATCCGCAGCAGGCGAGGAACGGTGCTCAATGCTAACACACAAGCACCCCAAATTGCCTCCCTGCAAGTGAGCGACAAAGATGTTTTAACCCAAATTATTGTAAATCTTTATGACTTTTATCACAATAGCACCTTGCTGCTATTAAGATCAATATTTTATATCAACAAGAGATATTTTCCAAACACATCAGCAAACAGTTGCAGCCATTCAACACACACCTTTTATGGTTGGTTTCGGCAGGTGCTTCCTGCTGCAGGGTGATGAGCAGAGCCAGCAGGCTGAGGCAGGACTGAGACAAGAAGCGCAGCACAGGTTCAATGGGCAGGACGGACAGGTCCAATAATCTGGACACCGCTCTCAGCAGGCCGGCCGCCATACTGTCAGGAACCACTCCTAACTTGGTCTGAGACACACACATACATACACACACACACACACACACACAGCATATTCAGGATGCTTGTTTTTTTCCACTGAGGGCAGAAAAGCAGTTGAAGGAATAAAGCATAGGAAATGGCACTAAATGAGTACCAATCAATGAAAACAGTTTCTCACCAGATATTTGCAAATGCCATTTTGCAAGATGTCAAAGCACTGAGACTTGGAACCCAGAGTTTCCAGACAGTGGCACACCTCCTGTGAATGAAACAGGCACATTATTTAACCAAAAATAGCTTTTTCCCTTACTGAGATGTTAAATAAAATATTATAGATTCCCTGTGTTTAGGAATCCTTAACTGCTATACTGCTTTCAAATAAAAAGGTGAAATTTTTATCTTAGCAATGCAACATGACAACTGGTAAATAAGATCGGTTTCCTTGTCTGATTTTTTCTTTTTTCTTTCTTTTAACCCTTTGCGGTGGACTATAAAAGGTTTTTATGGGAGAATATTTGTATGCAAATACAGTTTAAAATATAGTTTAAATGGTATTCCGTTTTACTGTATACAACAGCATGTAAGCCCATAACTAAGTTTGGGTTTCTGTCACACTGCTGCGGATAATGTTTATATAACTGATACATTGTCCCAGACCCCGTTTCCCATTTCCAAGAGCGTTTTAAAGGAAAACAAAGCAGGCAGTGAAAAGAAACCGCCCAAATGATATTATGAAGAGACGATTAAGGAGCAAATTAAGGAAAAACTTCCGTCTAAAACCGCTTTAAGCTGCATTTATCAGAAAAACCACATTCCTGCTGTACATGAACAGAGCATTAGAGTATTTCTGCATTCCTGTCTGGATTAAGTTAGGGCTTCCCGGCTCATCATGCCTTTACCAATGACATGAGTCATTAACAACATCTTAAATTTTCTTTTCTTTTTTTTGCTGGGATGGAGACAAGATTGGTTTCAGGCCTAAGAGGCCACCACGCCACCAACTTTTTAAAAGTGAAAAATAAGGCTCAGCTTTTCCTCATTAACTTCAAATCCAAATCAAATTTCTCATTAGCTTTTATCAAATTGAGGTGTGTGCGTGCTGCAGTGCAGAACTGAGTGCGAGCCAGTGTGTGTCGGGACTGTGCACCTGTTGGCATTCTCCCCGTCATTAAAAACAATCCAACAGTCTCATTAGTTGAACCAGAGTTGACACAGTCCGTCCCTTAATGCCGCCACCCCCCTCGCCACCACATGTGCCCTCCCTCCTCCTTCCCGCCACTTGCCTGTGATTGACTCAGACAGGGAGATGAGAGAGGCAGGATCTGAGGCCTTAATTGAGGAGTTGAATTAGTGATTATAAGCCCCCCACTTGCTCACACACTCACACACACTTGCCCTAGGGCATAGTTACGTTAACGGTAATTTCTGTGCAGAAATGTCACACTCCCATCATGCCATGGGCTCTCATTAGCATTTGTGCATATCCGCTATGCCCGATAACCACGCATCTCCAACCTGCGCAACGCGATAAAGGTTCCCCTCTCAGCCGGAGTGCCACGATAAAGCTTCCACCCTCTGAGCTCTACATGAGAGACAGAGAGAGACCAGGGGGGACTGAAAGACCATGGCTGTGTCCAGAATATCAACACTTTTTAATTTTCAAAACAATGTCTTTTCTTCCTCTTCCTCACCTCCTAGTCTCCGTCCCTTCTAGACTCATTTTTAATGTTGTGTCCAAGTGTTGCTTAGTGGCTGCAGTTTGGTAAAAAAGTTACACTGTATGTGAGTTTGGCGTAATTGTAGGAAAGACTGTGCAGAGAACGCACCTCAACAATGTCCCAGTGGTGGGTGAACTGTTCCAGCGGGGTGGGGTAGAGACTGAGGGGTGAGAGAGGCGAGGAAGGCAGGGCACTCTCGTCGCCGGCCTCCTGCAGGGAGGCGAGCTTGTCAGACGAGAAGCCCGTCAGGGTGGAGAACAGGAAGCTGATGTAGTCCACGTCCTGCAGAGCCGCTTCCTGGCTCCCAACTGACCAGCCACTCAGAGATGACCTGGAGAACATAACCAGTGAACATATACGTTATACAATTATTGATGCAAAATGTGCGTTTAACACAAAGCTGAAAAGTCACATCTTTCTGATGGTTTTACAGCTTGTAATTCATGCAACTTTTGGACACACCACTTTATTTTTCAAATAATATACTTTTTCTTATATTTTCCTTATCACATTTCTTAGGATAAATCGTGATGCTGCGTTTTCTGAGAGCATAATATTGTGTGTAAAAGTGCGCAGAAACACAGTTGTGAAAAATTCTTCCTTGTCCTGAGGGGAGGATAGATCTGTAACAGTGGGAAATATGTGTGAATAACAGTGTGTATTGTGAAGCCCAGGAGGCACATGGAGACAGTCTTCTCAATACTCCATGACGACGCTGCATTCCACCCTCCTAAAGAGCTCTTTGTATCATACCCATTACACACACATCCAATCCACTATGAACTCAGCACTCCCTCCACTAAAATTACATATATAACACTGCCCCACTGACACAGGCAAAAGGTCAGACACACAACTGCACGTAACCACACACACACTATAACAGTAGAAAGGTAGTCTGGGGTTGACTAATAGAACAAAAAAAACGCTTTTATTGTCACCTCTAAGTTGAATATCAAATATAAAAGACATCCACACCAGCACCTGTCAACAGACAGGGAAGAAGCCAGATAAAATGTCAGGGATTCCTCTGTGACAGCGCAACACTGCCATCTGATGGTAGCTGTCTGGAGTGCTTTCTGTGTGTCCAACATCATTGCCTGACAGGTTTAACTTTGTGATTCCAAAAGTAGGGGCCTTCATCTGCTGTTTAACAGGAATGTCTTCTTACACACATGCCAATAAATTGAGTTCATGTGCTCTCTTTAGGTCTATTGGGGGTTTCCAAGCTCACCTAAGATGTACAATACGAATCAGAGAGGCAGCAAGTCCAGCAGAGATTCGTCCAGCAGTGCAGCAGCAGCTCAGGTTGGCCAGAAGAGACTGGGACATCTTGGGTAGGAAGTAGAGTAGCTGTACCATTCGCTGCTGGGACTCTGCTGGTAACAGCACCACAACTCCTTCCTGTGGATCTTCACACAGACACACACAAACACAGATGCATTCTTCAGATGTTATTACACATAGGCAGCACATGCACTACAGCCTCTGGGGAAATAACATAAAGCTCTATCAAGAAAATTACAGTGATACCACGAAAACCAGACAATGTTGGACTAGTAAAAAAGAGAAAGACAGACAGACATGGCAACTACAGTGAGGGCTCAGATAATGTGCGTGTGTGTGGTGTTCTGTCTGTCTCTGACGCACATGCTGATGTCAGAAGCCCTCAGACAAAAGGAGTCTTGTGATGGTGAATTGCTGGCTCTGCGGCAGTTTCTATCAGAACACTGACATCCCCCCCTCCTCTCTCCTCCCTCCTCTCCTGGCCCCCTCTGTCACACACCAGCCTGACTATCTGACCATCCTGTGAGCAGTGGATATGGACAGGCTTCCAGCACTTTCTTATTACTGCTTTCCACTTCTGGTTGCAGTTAAATTTCGCAATGTTGTCTGGGCTGTGAAACATGGAGTTATATCGCCTCCTAGGGAAACTAGAGTGTACCTTGTGTTAAAGATTTTTCCCTTTCGTAATCAGGCCATATTGTATCTGCATTCATGAAAATGATTGTGTGCCTTTCAAAAATTTGAATACATTTATTTTTATTTCATTCAATGCTGGAGATAGTGAACACCTAAGTAGAAAGCTTGCTCTTACTGTATCTTCATTGAATTAAATGTTCCAAAATTAGAAGCTGGAACTGAGCAGTAATTGCGTTTGATGAGCCAGAAAAAAAGCAAGTAAACACTAAACACAGAGCAGAAAATCACTGCAGCACTGCTCTCTGTGGGTTGAAATTTGTTAACACGCTCCACCTCTGACTATAGCAATAATCAGGGTTGGCAAATCAGGTATTTACCAGCTGAAACGTGATGGACCACTGCTGACTGAGGTGTGGTCAGAGGCAAGACAGGTTTCAAACTACAGAGATATGTGCAATGGCAGTTCTCTGTCCTGTCTGAATTGGTAGTAATTTGATTTTCAAGGATGGCTGTGACACAGATATGATGATGTCGAGGTGATGTCGCATCAACAGATGTTGTTGCCCAAACCTCTATGATTGATTTCTTTGTCCCTCTGTCTAATTGAGTGTGCATACCATAGAGCCTGCAGGCTTGTGTCTGCAGACTGTTGAGCAGATCCTTGTTTCCCCGAGAAGCAGCAGCCTGGATGGACAGGATAAGTCGCGCAGAGAGCGCAGGGTTACGGTGGCCAAGCTGGGACAACTGCACGGGAAGAGAAGCCAACCACCGACACAGCACCTTACTCCTTCAGGGAGACAGAGGGAGGGATGATATACAGAAGTGTTGCAGATAAATGAGCTTGAGTAAGACGTCATTTCATGTTGACAGTACAACACATAGTCATCATAAATCCTTCCTGCTCTTGGCTGAATGAACAACAACAAGCTCTCTGAACAGTCATTGTTCTGTACTTAGAATTTTTCAACAGGAAAAAGCATGGTGGGTGTTCTGAAAATGTCAAATTTATCACAAACAACCCACCCAAATTAGTTTCTAGATGAATTCTATGTGATGAACGAGAAGTGCAGCTGCAGAATCATGCTGTATTTTATATCACAAATGGCTAGTATTAACAACTGTGAACAAGGTTAGTTTTGTTATCTTCTAAATATTCACTGATTCAGCTGGTACTAATTCTTTCTCAAATGATTCTTAAATCCTGTAGTGAAAACTGAGCTTGTGCCAAGTGGTCCGGCTGTGCTATTAAATTACTGTGCAAGGGTATTACGTTTTCTCCTACTTTTAGTACATACAAATCTCATTTAATATTCAAAATTATATAATATGAGGCTACTGTTATGATTATGGCTAGATCAGGGCAGCTGTGGCTCAGGAGGTAGAGCGGGTCGTCCACTAATTAGAAGGTCGGTGGTTCGATCCACCCCTGATGATCATTGCCCCTGATGGCTGTTCCATCAGTGTATGAGTGTGATGTATGAATGTGTGGGTGAATGGGTGAATGTGGCAAGCATTGTAAAGGGCTTTGAGTGGTCAGTAAGACTAGAAAAGTGCTATATAAGTGCAAGTCCATTTACCATTAACCATCATTTACATGTATACAAGAACTGTAAATCTTCAGTTTAAAGATTCCATGTGCTGAAAAACAGTGACTGAGGTTACCTGGCTATGTGTGTATGACCTTGCTCCTGCAGGTAGAGCTTGCTGTAGAAAGACAGCAGCAGAGATCGTGTCTGTAGAGTCAGGTGCTTCTGCTTATAGTAGATGTACACTGCTGCCAACAGGTCCTCTGTCACTGCTGCACAAATACATTCACACACATTGATTTAATATAAAAAATGACTGAACATTAAATATGTCTTCAAGTACAAGTACACTGTGCGTGCTTACTTTTGCTCCTCTGTGTGAGCACCATCTTCCACACAGTACCAAGCAGCATGTGGAGCTGCCTATAGCTCAGTTTCACTCCGCTGCTCAGAGTGTCTCGGACAAACGTCCTCAGTAGCGCCAGCCAGTCTCCATCTGCCTCTCGGATGAGTCCCTGCCTCTGGCTGAGGGACACCATGACCTGGCAAAGTGTGATGTTGAGTGCCAGAGGCTCCACAGTCAAACCTGGAACAGCTGCAGTTTGTTTACTCCTAAAGAGAGGACAGTAACACGAGATAATCACAGCTAGTTTAGATCTTCATATACAGTAGTTAATGATCACTAATCAGGAATATCTTACCACAACTTTCTAATTATTTTTTACCACATCTCACATCATAAACATAACAATACATATATGTATCAACAGAAGGAGGATGAATGTCTGCTTTACATTAAAACTGATATTCCTTACCTTTTGAGATCCACCTTTCTTTTATGTTTGGGTATGTCCTGAGCACCATAGGGAAAGTTTTTCATGAAGTGCTGCTTAAAATCTCCCAGGTATTCTTTACGGAACCATGCATCCTACACAAACACAAGGCACACTTTTAGCAAACCTTTTCTTGTCCAAAAAACACTGTTTGATATTTGTGCATTCCTCATCTCACCAGTGAATCCTGGTGCTCCTGCTGTGGTGCCAGTTTTCTCAGCAGCTGCAGAATAGACAACACCTGGAACATTACTGACATAGCATCTGGGGTGAGCAGGTGAGCGCCCTCAGTAGTGTTCCAGGAACAGTCACTAGCGCTGGCCTCGACCCAAACTTCCAGCAGAAGAGGTACCAGTGTAGCTGCAAAGCTCTGAACAGCCTCAGCTGAGTCCAGACTCTCACCCACTGTAGCCCCAGGATCCACCTCAGGTCTACACAGTGAGATAATAAAAGAAAATTATAATTAGTTATTAGTTAATACTTATTTTCAGATAAATTCTGTTTGAGATTTTCATTTCGGGATGGTGACAGTAGTTTGTGGTATCGTACCTGAGCCTAAAAGTGGAACGTGGAGTTGGTTTGGCCCCAGAATGCTCATACACCTTAACTCCAACCTTACTGTAGGTGAGCTCTTCCCAGTTGAGAAACAGAGGTGAAAGCCGTCCCTCTCCACTGGAACCAAACACTCCCTCAGTTGCGACAGACATGTCACCTTCCTCAACTGGTCTTTCCTCAACTACTGCCTGAAGAAAGCGCCCAAGCCTGAAACAAGTGGAACAAACCACAAGGTTGGCAGCCACAATTATGATTTTAGATTTTTTTTTTTTGAATCCATGTGCATCTGGCTTCCGTACCTGAGGAGCACAGATAGCCGCCACTGCTGGCTAGTCACAGCCCTGTTAAGACTGACTGACAATGCCCAGGTCCGCCCCTTGGCATCCTGGGACTTCTTGGCTCCTCCACTGCTTTGTCTGTGAGAGATCAACTCTAGGAAGTTAGTGAGGAGTACTGCAGGCCGCGCTGCTAGCAGAGCAGGGTAGTGTTCCAGCAACACATCAAGGTCCTTCATTGCATCCTCCTGGATGCCTGTCTCAATGTGGGTCATGGCACAAGACAGGTGGGCACTGAGGAGAGGGAAAAATGGGGCCACTCGTTCTGCAGGCACAGACTGTGCGATGAACCTGGAAGCAATTTTAGACAAAGTGTTATATGAGATAATAAACAAAAGCTGAGTGTTATTACCAGCTGCGACAGCATTTGGCTGGTATTGTTTTCATCTTGTGTGTCTCAGTGTGTGCATCATCATGGCATAATGTGATCCTGGAGACACCTACTGTGGCAGGAACTACCCCAGAAGCAATTTTAAGTACTTCGTTGTTTTTAAATTGGTGTTTATAATATATGTGTGTCTGTCTGTGTGCATCTATCTGCGATTGCGTCACAATCAAAATAGATGCAGTCAGGAAAATTCAGAGGTGAGATGTGTTCTAATGTTTGTTGTATTCCTGCATCACTGTTGTTTCTCTAACCTGAGCACACGTGTAGCTGCCACACGAACGTTGCCATCCTTGTCTGTGAAAACAGCTGCAACTTCAGAGAGCAGCCGCGAGAGATGCTGCTCTAACAGAGATGGATTAAGGGACAGCAACTCTTTCAAACCCAACAAGGCACTATGTTTCACATTGGCATTGTAATGGTGGAGCTGAGACAGGAGGTCCTGGTGAAGTGCAGGGAAAGGGAAAGAAAGAACAGAAATTGTAGAGTTAAAAAAGAAACAACTTTCAGAGAGGTATGTTTGTAGGACAAAGTGAAACACAGAGAGGAAAGAGATAAGAGGCTCACATTGATTCCAAGCTGTCTGTGTGTGGTTGGGCCACTTGTGTCTCTCTTCAGCTGTTCAGATAGATGGATTCCCTTTGAGCGGAAATTAGTGTTGGTGGCATTATCAGCTTTGGGCTTCTTCTTCCCCACCTTTAACTTGACCTTCTGAAAATCATCCTGTCTCTTCTTCTTCTTGGCCTTCATCTCTGCTGTCTACACTGCAGTCTGTTTTACCAGACACGAAGGTGAGATAATGACAGAAGAGAGTTTTCATCTCAGTTAAAAACATACTGACCGCTGCCATAGGTTTGGACAGTAGTGCTGGGCTGCTGAAGCATTAAAACATACATTTCGCATGACAAACTAAACACACTGCTATATTTTTGTTCTGAATAGTCATATAAGGGAAGCTAGTTAGCTAGCTTGTAGCTAACTATCTCGTACATTAGTTCAGCATCATGGATGAAAGCTCTTTTACTTACCACAATAAAAAGCCCTGGCATCAAATAATCAGCGGTGTCTAGAGCTAGAGAATAGCCACCCTGCTAATAATTACCAATAAATATTAAAAGAAAATATTCTGTATACAATCTCGTGTTGGTGCAGTGGGTCCTCTAACAGTGTGTGTACATGTTTCCAAAGCCGAGATCTCGTCGCTCGGGTGTGCAGAGCACAACGGCGGCGGGGATGTAAAACCTTTATGACTTGAGCTCCATAGAAGCCAAAAAAACTAAAACTAAAAAAAAAAAAACGCCAACTTGAAACCAAACCGAATGAAATATAAAGGTTCCCCCCAGGTGTCCTGGGAAATATCAACAACTTGGCCAGTTTAGTTTAGCAAAGTGTTGTGAACTCTGGCGTATAAAACGAACGCACCTTATAGTTGTCCGCACAAGTGCCTTAAAAATAGCATCATTATAATTTCTTTCTAAAGCCAGACAGTACACCGTTTAATGTAACTAATTTTGGTTCCGTTTTATACAGGGAGTGTATTAAAAATAACGTTTAAATCAAACTTTTTTATTTTTTTATTTTACTTGTTTGAAAAGCGAAGAACTAGTCGGCGTTTTCTAAACTGGCGAAAGCGTCGCTCTCCACACTCCCGAAGCTGCTTTCGGTATTGTGTTTGTACATCCTAGTTAACACATCCTCCCGACCTTGTGCTGCCAGGAGTTTACAGTTTTGATTAAAATATCCCGGGTAAGTTAGGTAATATTATCTTATTTTTTTTTACTAGTGGAGATACTCACGTTATTAGGTGTTTGGACTTGCTTCGACATTTCTGACAGGTAGCGTAGTGTCAAAAAAGTCGTCTAAAGTTAAGCTCGGCTGGGCCTGAGACGAAACGAAACGCATGTAAAACAAACTGCTAACCCACTAATGACAGCGTGTTAGCGTGTTTGTGTCTTCAAGTAGAATGACTGGTGTGTGAACTGTGTTTTTATTGTTGCACCGTCTTTGTCCCATAGAGGTGAAACTGAGGAGATGGAGGCTCAGGCTTCGGCGAACCAGCCTCCACCAAAGAATGGGCCGCAGCAGACCCAACGGAGGAATCCCAGGGTAAATCTCACAGCGAGGCTGTACCAACACTGTATTAGACCACGCACTCTTAAAACATCACGAGTAATACATTAAAATCATATCACTTGTATTCCCTCACACGTGTGATGCTGGCCGCTCAAGAAGGAAACCTGTGATTTCTTTCCCATCTTTTCTTGTTATTTATATTGTTCACTGGCTGATGTGATGCCTGATGTGGAGCCAGGTGGCAGCAGTCCTTGGCAGGTGGACTTTGATGCCAGCCTTTGTGCTCTCAGGCTTGGTTGTATTTGCACTTTGGCTTTTGAAGGCCCAACTCAGTGGTCTGGGCCTTTCAATTGCAGCCTGTTAGCGCTGTTGTGGTTTAAAGGTATTTCTTGGCACCAACTCTTTGGCTGCAAGCATTTCTTTGTTGTTCTGAAACTGTATCACCACTCTTTAAACTTGACATTGAGCTTTATGTTTGATGTGGACTTGGTTCTCTGAACCAATATCTAACAGCATACTACTCAGTTTTTATTTCTGAGTTTTGTCATGCTCAAAACCAAAAAGACCTTATGTTTAGCAGGTCTCCTTGTTTGTATTAAAAGCAGTTACTTGCATTGTTGGATAATATGTAAATTGGCTGCGAAATAGTATCACTGCAGTGATTGATACACACCAATGAAATTCGAGGTAAAATACACAAGGGACTCTTAATTTCAGTTCAGATAATTTACATGTATGAGCTACATGCACCATTTGAATTCCCCTTGTGATTAGCAACTTGTTTCTGTCTACTGTCTCCACTCGTCTACTGCAAGAAAGGGTATGTTTGGGAGCGTATGGTCTTGTTCGACAGGTGCCCCCAGCCCAAGTAGTTGCCACGTCAAAATCTCCATATTTTTATACAGCTTATGATTCAAAGTGACATCATCCTCCTCTTTGTTCTTCCCAAAAAGGAGGATGAATGTTTTCTAAATAACAATATTATCTCATCGTTTGTGTTTGCTGATTTCATCTGTCAAACTTAGATTCAGGGCTCCCAAACACACCACACTGTGTCTAAGGCCACAGCACACAGTGGTAGACTTGGTGAAACGTTTCAGCTTCATTTTCTTGGGAGAATTACTGAGGTCTTGATCTCAGTTTTCTTAATTGTGACCACTGTAGATATGTTTGCACATTGAACTGTGTGTTTTCTCCTTCATTCAGTGTATCAACTATTTAGCTTTCTTCCCTATTAAACAAGTAATTAAGTGTTGCTGTTCTACATTCTCATTTTATGAGAATTTAGACCAATCCAGACTACAACTTTTAAAAACCTATTATACACTTTTGTCTGTGACTGCCACTGCTTGATGCAGGGGTCATGGAGAATAAGGAAAATGATGGCTGTATGGCATTTATAGTGTGGCGGACATGGACGAGGAGTTCAGTCCTCTGCGCAGTGTCATCCTATCACTAATGCCTGTATGTGTCTCTCTCCTTCATGTGGGTTTATTCCCTTCTTTGACAGAGAAAGCAGCCGCAGCATTCTGCTGATATAGGTAAGTCCTGCACACACAGTCCTCCTGCCAGTGCTGAGAGTTGAAGCTTGAGATCTTGATTTCCCTGCTTCATGTCATGGGCGGTGGCATGTTCACCACTCTTAGAGACTCAAACTCTCAGAGATGGGGATGTTGTGGTGCCATCCATGGTTATGGTCTTTGGAAATCAGTGTTTGCCACTGCAGAAATAATCTTGCAAAACATTTTCCACAAGTGTCCTATTGAGAAAATCAAAATTTCAACATTTAGGTGGTTTAAAAAACATACTGAACAATTTTAGAAATGTCAACCCATTCTCCTAAGGTGTTGCTACATTAAAGACCAGCACCATAAGCTCCATTAGTCCCTAGTGATTCACATGGTCTTAAAACTGCGGGACATATATTAATGCAACCATACATCTGCAATGGTTGCTGATGAAGTTTTAATGCACTTTTTGTGCAGTGATGGTTGTGTTAACACTATATTTTCTCCATAAAACATTTTTAACACTGCTGGATGCAGCATTCCTTTTTTTATTCAGTTGCCTGTGCTACACTGGCTTGGGTGATAATGTGTTGTATTACATTATTCCTTAATCTGAGTAAACCTTACCTGCTTACCAAAGTATTTTAAATTATGCAGGTTTTTTTTTTTTTTAACCATATGTTCGCAGCTGGACTGCGTCAGTGCAACACAGAAGTGATACTTCTGTGGCTGAGCACATGAGAAGCAATGCAGCAGAGGAGCTGGTGTGCTGCAGCCCATTTCGGGCCTAAATGGAGCGGGGGGTTAGCTGAGAACTGCTGCTCCCCTTCTTCCCCCTGCCTACAAAAGCACACATGAGGAGTTTGGGTTTGTAATGGTGGCTCAATTAATATAGACAGAGTAAAATATATTGGCCATCAGACACTGCTGGTAGTGTAAGAACACAACATACTTTCTATCTGCTTTGCAGAGACTATTCTGTTTACAGGTTTCTCCCCATAAATTTATAACAGAAGTGGCTCGCTGAACTAGTTTGTTGGAGATGAACCTTGTTGTCTCACTTGTTTCTCAGTTGTAGACCATCATTTAGGCTTGCTTTGTGTTGTGTTTTCCCAGTGTTCACGAAAGGGACATCTATCCAGACCGTGCCCTGTCTCAGCAAACAGTTGAAGGGGGTCACAGAGTGTGTCATTGGTAAGCAGAAGGGCTCTTTCCCTCACATCTACCTCCTTTCCTTCCTTCCTATATTGAAATGCATAATCAATAATCATCACGTCTACAGGTCTTCAGTATGTGTGGGAGTACCGCAGCCCCAGTAAATCTGTACCACCACATTACCAGTGCAAACTCTGTGCCGTGTACCGCATGCAGCATGATATGGTTGCTCATGTGAAAGGCTGGAAACACAGCTTCAGATACTTGGTGAGTATTGTTGGTTTCTTAGTTTGTGGCAAAGTTGTGATATTGCAAAATTATTTGTGATATTTAAATTTTTTGTCTACCTTGTACACAGAAAAAGGTCCACCCTGACAAGGTCACCTGTGAAGAGGAAGAAGCCATCAAAGACCCTGCTGTAAGGAAGACCATTAAAGACATTGCTGCTGAGGTGGAGAAATCAGAGGGGAGGGGACAAATCAAGGTGAGTGTCAGACTCTTCTGTCAAAAAACATTCTGATACTGACTAGACTTTCTCTGCTATAATGATCAGTGGACATGTAATTTTATGTCATGGCAGTGTGTTGGGATAGTCAGACCCAGAATAGCACTACATTTAAAAACAGAAGGGTTTTTTTGGCTTGGAGATGTTGCAAAATGGTAAAGGTGAGAAGATGAAATACAATCCAGGAGGTCCGTTTTAAAACTGAGAAGTTTAAGTGCAATGTCAATTAACTTTAAGCCTAAGCAAAAACATTAAACAAGCTTGATTTATACTTCTATGAGGCAGGAGTTCACAACTCCAATCAGCGCATTAATCTTTTTTTTTTTTTTGTTACATTGGGCATTTTTGCCTTTATTTGATAGTACAGTGAGAGGTAGTCAGGGAGAGATATTAAGGGGATGACATTCAGCAAATGGCTGAGGGTCGGATTCGAACCCATGGCTGCTGCGGACTAAATCCATGTGGTACGCGCTCTACCAGGTGAGCCACCGAGGCGCCCTGAGCATTAATCATTTCAGTTAATCAAGTCTGGCCTTCCTTAGGATTCAAAGTTAAAAAAAATGTATATTCAATACCAAAGAACATCCATTTTTATATTTGAGATGTGTATTTACATATTTTGTACATCATGATTGCAGATTTGATATTTTTGTCACTGTTGTTTTTAGGTTATCCTGAAGGAGCCCTGTGAAGTACCTGCTTTCAAAGGACTCCGTGAGTTACTCTGCTATGACTTACTTTAGTAATAGCAGATTCTCTGTTGGTTGCTTTTTTGAGTTGTGTATGTGTCTGTGTCCTTTCCTCTCTCACAGGTTCTGCTACTCCCAAGGTTATGCCTCCACCACCTCCAGGGATGGGACTAAAGGGACCATCCTTTGGTAAGTATTTTTGAAATATTCTGGGTAATAGTGTGCATATATGCCCTTATTCTATTATGCCGCATGTGAATCTGAATCTAATGAACACGCCTCTCTTGCAGTTCCCAGGTTTTCTGACCCGAGGTTTCAAGGGGAGTTTCCTCCTCAGGTTGGTCCTCTCTCTGACTACCCAGTGGGAGAATATGGGGAGCCCGGTTTTGGAGGGTACTCGGCCAGGCAAGATTTCCCTGATCCTGGTATGGAACGGAGACCTTTCCCAGATGGTATGGGCCATCGCCCAGCTAGGAGTGGAGATGGGTTTGGACCAGTTGGTGGAAGAGATGGATATGGAAGGAGTGGACTGATGGAGGAGAACCCAGGTAGAGTGTATCCTGACCAGTACAGAGGCAGCCAAATGGGGAGTGGCTTAATGGACAGACCAATGGACAAGCCACTGGACAGGCCAGGCTTAATGGGAGCAGCTCCAGAAAGTAGCAACCTTCCTAATACACTGCTCACTTACCTGGTATGTGTCTTGTTTCTCACAATAGTTTCTTCCCCAACATGAGAAAAGTGTTAGTTATGATGTTAAATTACTGTTATTTATGGTCAAACTTACAGCAACTTCACAAAAATTTTTTTTTAGGATACTTTCCGGATAGAGAATGAGAATGACGCACAGCTGGTGCTGAAGGTGACTCAGAAACTAACAGATGTGCTAATGGAGTACAGACTGAGAAGTGTATCAGCGGTATGTAAGAAAACACCCGTGTTCTGAAATTTTTAATATTCTGTTTTAAATTCAAGATCAGTCATTAGATCTGATCTAGCCTACCATGTGTTTAGTTTCAATGTAACTGCAACTGTTATTAGAATATTTTCTACATAGTATCCATCACTTTGAGTCTGACAATTTCAGCACCTGCTATTTAATATCTGAAAACAATATGAGCAAAACCATATTTGCATGTGTCTAGATTTTTCCTCTAGGAACTTGTGTGCATGTGCATTGTCTCCTACAAAATTTTCTGTCTTAATTTCTTCCTCAGGGCTCTAGTCTGAACAGCTTATCAATGAGCTCTTCAAGTTTCTCCTCAACACCTTCCAGGTTGTCAAGCAGTAGTGACCGATACTCAAGTAGTCTCTCAGGTAAACAACCATCAAGTGTTCGCGTTCCTGTTGCTCATATTTTAAATAACTTTGAACTCAAAATGTGAGTAGAGCGTATTTCTTAACTATACCCTTTTTAATTTCTGGCATGTCTCTCTGTAGGTCCATCCAGGTACTCAGATGTGCCACCCAGGTATTATAAATGACAATCAGAAGATGACGTGACACCTCAGTCTTCTCAACTCTGTTCTGTGTGCATCAGTTATGACATCCAAGAGTTAAAAACTTTGGTTTTTATGCTTTTAGGCAGGTTTTTTTTTTTCTGTTGCTACCTAGTATCATTTTTGAAACGTTTTTTGACTTTAGAATATGGTATGATTTATAAGTTGTAAAGTTTTACACAAAATGTGCATGTTTTGAGCAGCTTTAACTGATCATTTCAGTGTATGACAATTATTCGTTTCCCAAGGTCCAGTTCTATTAAAAGTCGTGTATAAAATGCTGTGTGTTTTGAAACGTGAAATCCATTCAATCAAAAGACTATTTCTTTCAACATGTTCTTCAGTTCCTGTGCTGCATAGACAAGAATGGGGGATGCTTCAATAGGTTATGGACTTCCAGAAATGTTTGACGTTTGAAAACTCTCCTGCTGGAGGAAGTGTCAGTGGACTCCTGGGTGTGCGGCTGAGGTTAATTCCCTCCTGTCCTCTTCGATATCTGCTGCAGTTTCAACATGAGTCCTGTTCCAACACTGGATGCAGAGATACAGCCATATACAACTACATCAGTGGGATTTTGCCCTGAAGTGCTCTTGGGTTAATGAATGAGCCATACAACAGTGTTTTAAATATTTATTTAAAAAATGAACAGAATATTCACAGAGAGAATATGAAGTCATTAATGGTTATAACAGAACATAACATTTAGTAAGTCAGCAGGTTGATGCAGTTAAACATCTTGGACGGAAAACAAACTTTTTCCAAGATAAAATGAAGATCTCAAAATGACTCTTTGGCCACGGTGTCGGCATTGCAGAATTAATGTTCCATTTCTCCACCACTTCTTGCCAAGATGTCCTCCATCTGCTTCACATTTATGCGGGTAAGAAGTACTTCTGTCCCCAGGAAGTCCTGTCCATGGAGCCCATGAGCCAGAGCCGCATGCTTCTGTGACTTAAACTTAACCACAGCCTCACCAGTACTCCTGCCACCACTGTCACGGAGCAAGATGATATTATCCTCCTTCAGTTTGTATTTGTAGAAAAGATTTTTTATTTGACACTTCTGCACATTTCCAGGCATGTTTCTAACAAACAGGCACGCCTGAACAGCTGAGTCTGGGTTGATGCTTGGTTTCTCTTCTGATGTCCCAACTGTACCTGATTTGCTCTTTCCATTTGGTTTCTTCTTTGTGTCCATCTTCAGATGATGCTTAAGCCTAATGGGATGTGTTTTGGCCATCATGTCCCTCATCAGCTTCTTGGTAATTGATGATACCTTAATGGTGTCAGAGCCAACATGGCACCCACTGAGATTCATTGCATATTCATAGTCTTCAATGCAGTTAAAAATAAGAAAAGCTGTGTCTGTTCTGTTGCCTTCCTTGTCAAGCAAATGGAGTACATTTTTGTGTACGATGTTTGGACATCCACACAATTCTTTTATTTCAGTCTTGGTCATCTTTTTGGGTAGATTACTGACCATGACAATGTACTCCATACTTGGTGAAAAGGTAGTTGCTGAGTCATACTCTGGTCTTGGCTTCTTTGGTGATTTACATGGTAATTGGTTGACAGATCGCCTCTTCATCAGCAGTGCAGAAGCAGATTTTTGTTTGTGGTTTGCAGTTTCCCTAAGAGGGTTTTGGTAGGGTTTCACGCTCTCCTCATCACCAAGCGCACTTTCACATTCTTGCAGGGCACTGGTCCACATCTTCTCAGTTGCTCCACGTACCTCCACACAGCTGTTGCCCAGTGACTGTTGGTTGAAGTGAAGAGCATCATATGCATCCTGCGTGTTTGCAAACTTCACAAGGCAGCAATGGCGAAGACCCAACTTCACATTCACTATGGCTTCCTGTACCGTCAACTCTCTGAAAAAATGGCAGATGTCTTCTTTTGTAGCTGAGGCTGGCAGACCAAAGAGCCTGACATAGCCAGGCTCTGAGTTCAGAGTTAGCTCTGGTGTCCTCACTGCATCGGAAAATTCAACTGTGCTATCAGCCTTGGGGAAATCAACTCTTGGCCCTGCTTCGTTGTTTTCTCTTTGATGGGATGACTGGAGTCCTTGAAGGACAGTACAAATCCCAAGAAGAAAGGCAGTATTGGAATCAAGTGAGTTCACAGCTGAAATGTGCAGATTTGCAGAAGACTTCTTGGGATAAGGAGGCTGTGGCAAATTTGCAGTGCGGGGATCAACTGGCCGTGCAGTAGTAGGTGATGGATTTGCATTATTGTGATCATGAGGCAATGCATTCATAGATGGCAGATTTACATCTGGACTTGGCTGACGTCTCTTGGCAGTCAACTGGGTGGGGGAGGCTTTCTTCTTCTTTATCAGTGTCTTTAATTTGTGCTCCAGTTCTGCCATGCTGCTTATGTGTAAAGTCACCTTAGACCCTTTCAGGAAACTATCATTGTGCTGCATGGCAAGCCGAGCATCTCTTTCAGTGGTAAACGCAATAAAAGCTTCTCTGAGACTTCCCCCCACTATGTACACTCCACCATCAGGTATGTGAAAACTTTGAAAGAATTTCCTTATATCTTCTGTACCTGCTTTCACATCAAGGCCTTGCAATCGCAGGATTACTGTCATTTTGTCATATCAGGCCAGGTGGTTTCTGAAAATTGAGGAAAACATGAGGTCAAAAAATGCAATAACAGCAGGGTTACATTTAGAAGGAGGCTAAACAGGATATTCAGCCAGAAAAACGGCGTGCAGGAGGACTGAAAAGGAAAGAGGAAAAATAGAAAGAAAAGTTTTCTGTCTCCATAAAACACGTGCAAACACTCACCACAGCTGGCATCAAAGTATAAATGGTGTTTTTTTTTGTGCGAGCGGTGTTGTTGCTGTCGCACTGTCTCAAATTCGCTCTGATACATACAGAAAGTTTTGATCACATCTCGCTGCTCGCACTCTTCTTATTGTTCTCCGTCTTTATCTTCCCACGCTCAGAGTGCGCACTTTCCCTCCTTCTTTGTTCACTGGCTTTGGAATGTGATGGAGGTGCATTACCGCCCCCTAATGGACCGGAGTGTGAGCTACACTCAGGACATCTGTACGGTAACTCCTGTTCAATTCTTCTGGTTTTAACTGCATTTGATGTCGATCCCTTCAGTAATCAGCTCTGCACTAAAAACCTACACATGGAATCTACTGTATCCTATCTGTGACAGCAACGACATTCTGGTTTACATACATTTGTATTGAGCTGTCATTCGTCCAGTGTCTTATCTATTAAAAACCTTTATACCCAACCCCTCATGTTTTCAGTAACAGTTGAAAAAATGTTTTATCCCCCTCTACAAAAATGTGATTTACAACACAATAAACATAATGTAACCTTCAGATTAAACAAAAACATTATGAGAAAAAACAAAAAGTAAAGAAGAGAATCACCATAAAAAGCCAAAATTCTCCAGCCATCAAGAGCTAGATCCATGAGCTAGAAACTGACCACAATCCTCAGCCAAAAAAGGACTGTGGTTAAACAATTCAAAAAAAATGAGCAATCAATGGTGAATAGATTTTAAGCAGAGTAAAGGTTCTTCCTTAGCCCTCTTACCCAAACAGTATGCTGGTCTCACAGCTTCTTCATGTACCCCTGGTCACAGTCAGTGATCCACACACATTGATGGAAAAAGTCCAACTGGCTTTGTAACACTTCTAATACACCGCTTTTGGTCTCTTCCATTCCTCTGAACTCATTTTTATTTAAATATTTGCATTTTAAAATCTTACTTATTTACTTGATCTCATTAAAGTGCGCGGTTCTCTCTCCCTGGAGGACTATGCAAATATACTACCCTCCTTTGTCAGGAAGTGAGTCAGATATAGCTGCAAGGCCATGGCAGATGGTTTCCTGCCAAAAGTCCCCTCTGACACACATTCTGTGATGGCCTCAGATAACCCAAAATAAAATAAGCAGTTGTTTCATTACAAAGATGGAATTTTCTACAGTCTGCCCAGTTTAAAAATGCTCCTTTTCTAAAAAAAAGATTATTCACTTACCTCAAGAAAGATTATATATTCTGTTTAACTAACACTTTTGTAACTACGTGAATATGCCTTTGCAACTTTTGCCTTTGCTGCAAAAGGGTACTCTATTTATCTCTCCTCTCATCCTCCCAGTCATGTACTCAAATATCTTACTTGAAGTCATCTTTTTATCTACTTTACATATTACTCTGCTCCAAGATGCCCATCTGTCGTGTTGTGTATCTGCTTTCTATTGTCGTCATGACAAAGGGAGGCATAGTTTCTGGTCACAGGTGGAATTGTTGATAAATAGGGAGCACACAGCTATGTGGAAAGGTGTTCTCTGGTTGGATATGTAATGCTTTAGGTGCAGTGATATCTAATCATGAATTCCCTGGCATCGTTCCGCCATCTGCAGGGACTGTGTCATTTACCTCCTTTTTCACAGAAAACATTTTGACATGTCACAAGCACTGGTGCAAATAATAAAATCAATGATGGCTGAATTCCACTTAGCTCTTTCAGTTTCAGAGTCATGTTATTGTGCATGCTGTCTCAATGTCACACTGTTATGGGACACAAATATTGTTTTTAGTCATAGCTCCCTGTGCTTTTCCTGCTATGACAAGTCAAAATGTATGCTGAAAAAGGCATATTGCTCCTAGTATAAGCTCTGTTATGAGTTGATATCTGCCTCCCAACAAAGACTACTTAGGGTTTTAAAGCATTGAGCCATAGACCTACATGTTTGTATGTAAGTGCACAAGAATTTGCAAGCACTGGTATCCTTATGGGAATTAGCGCACTAGGCACTGCACATCCACACAGGTGTTTTCACTTACTGTGGCTAATTAGACTTCTGCTCAGGTTGACCATGGGGAGAGATATGCTGGAATTTATGTGAGGTCTGTGTTGAAGGAAACTGTGATATTCATGTGACCAACATATTACTATAGTTAGACAGAAGTGGTACGTTTAATTGTAAGTGTGCACAGAGTGGAGGAGAGAGATCATCCTGCCCTTTAGATTCTTATTAGCTTGAGGACAGCAAATTTGTTATCTTTCAAGGTTAGCCAGGGGGAATAGAAACAAGTACACTATTGTACCAGTGTGCAGGTGGAAACTTAGATAAGATTTTTTCATAGCAACCGCTATAATGGTGACTCAGCAATATTTTAGAATTAGACCAGTCAGGCAAAACTGTGTGCTAAATAATGTTGCATCTCTAGGGGGACCATGGAGTGAGAGAATTAAATTAACATGTTGGAGAAAAGATTCTGGTTCTGTAGACCCTTCCGATGTCAGATTTGTACTTTTACTCTTTGTTTGAAAATTAACTGTGATTCATTATAATATTTCCTGTCGTCCTGTGTCTTTCATTTGACAGGCCACAGACAAGGTCTAATCAGGAAAACTAAATAAAGACTAAAAAACGAAATGAAAGCACCTATGTGGGTGCCAGTATTATAGAATCAGACGTAGTATCTCATAAATTCAATTTACCATGGTTATTGTATTTTTATAATCCCTAACATAACACAGAAATTAGCTCCCATTGTGTTTTAAAAAGGTATTTCAGTCATGCAAAAGCCTCCTGAAGTTCACTAATTACAGAAATTGGTTAAATTTTACTGTCACCTCTCAATTGTTATTTTCCTTATTTTCATTTATGAGTATTTATGTTTATTTAGATATTGACAGTTTTTTAGTGTTTTTTTTTTTAGGGGGGGGGCTGCGACGCACACATACATTTGTTCGTAACGTCATCACGCTGAATGAAAAGGATTGTGGGTAAGAGGGAAGACCGTTGTTTACCATGGCGACGGGGACGCTACCATTTGTTGTTAACAGACACAAAGTGCCTTTAACGTTAATTCTTTTAACATACATAGATTTACTTCACTGTCAGCTGTTTATTATACCCTTTAAGGCTCCTTCAGAGTGTGGTGTGGAAGAATTTTTCGATATCTCGAGTTTGTCGTGTGTGAGGTGCGGTCCAAATCAGCGACGGAGCACAACAGGTCGGTTAACATCACACCACATCACAAGAGTTGATTCATAGACGATACTCTTGTCGACAAAAAGTGTTATTAGTCTTACTTTTAAACAAATTAACTTCGTCTGTTGCGTGGTCAACCATACACGACGCAGAGAAGCCACAATGAGCTGGGTAACAGTTAGCTAGGTACAAATGGCAGACTATACAGAGATCGGTTAAGAACCAGAGTAAATGTTAAGAAAATCTTTAAAGGGCAGTTCCCCCCTAAAACTGTGCTGTTTGGATTATCATGAAGTATTATAATATCGATGATATTATATATTATGATAATGATAACATTTCCAATGCCTCTTGATCCTATGTATCACAGCGCACTGCGTTTTTTCCCAGGTGATAAATTCCTCACTCACCATTATATGAATGGCTTATATGAAAAGTTAGGATGATCCTAATTGACAGAAGGAGCTGCATTGCACGTTATTTATCTGTGAGGCTCTACTGCAAAAAGTGTCTCATTACCTATACTCTCTGATCTCATATAAAAACAGCACTTACAATGTCAGGTCAGATATTTTAACAATAGTTGTACCAAATGTTCAAACTGAGCTAGGAACTGGTATTAGATGCTAAAAGGTGACTTCACTGTGTGGGTTACATCCTCATGGGAGTGACTGAGTTTTTATTGCTATTAGGAAGTAACACACATCATCCTGTGTGACCTGTAACTGTGTTTTGACTTCCTTCCTTTTGCAGGACTGAGCTGTACTTGCAAAACTGGGTACCAAAGTCTCACCACTGACAAGACATCTCTTACTTGTCAGCAATGTCCCACTGACAAGCCTGTATGTAGAGTTTACCTTTAATATCTTTATTTGCTATCACACTCCCTACACACTTTCTAACTTTATTTATTATGATGCTTTCTTGACGAGCTGTCTTTTTTTTACAGGCAGTAACAAAAGATGGGTTTGGGTGTATCCGCTGTCCAGGCAGTCTCATTGATGAGGGGAAGTGCAAGTGCCCAAAAGGCGATGTCCTGGGTAAGTGACTAATGACAGGACTAATTTAGGAATTGCAAGTATGCATTTAACAAACAGTCATTAATGTTGAATAACCACAATCAGGCAACGGTGTGGATAATTGTGTATATGGCTTAATATGACCTGTCTTTTTCCAGTGGAGAGAGATGTCAATGGAAATCTTTTGGTTGAGGCCAGGTGTGAAACGTGTAATGGAAACAGCCCTGCTTTCTCTGTAGCAAACAGCAATGAAGACAGGTACTAATCATTACCATACAATGTAAACACTATATATTCACACTATACACAATATATTCAGCTGCTTCATACAGATTCACACTCAAGAAGTTGACCACGGCATCTGAGATTATACCTTTTAAAAATTTTATAATGGGAACAGCAAATGTATGAAAAATATTTTTGTTTTATGATGCAACTTTCTACCTGAAATATCCATATTTCATACTCTGAACATAAGATAAGATCATCAAGATATAATGAATAAAGCTAGTCAAAGTATAGACAGTACAAATCAATTTATAGTACTGTTCTGTGACATTTGTTATATTTATATATTAAAAGTTACAGTATCAATAATATCAATATGTCATGTAAACACGTTATTTGATCTGTAGCATAGCAGTCACAAACAAGTTTGGAAGGGAGTAATATGGATTTTACAATTTTGAATATTGATGATTATCTTTATGCTAATGAATATGTTCAAAAATCAAACAAATGGTGGTCGTGTTAACAACACTTTAAGAAGATTGAATGGTCTCCTTTAAGGTGTTATCATGTCTAATAGATAAGAGCCCCTATACAGCAAACTTACAGCTCAGCAAGTTAAAGCAGTGCGGAATCCTCTAATAAGATATGGATTGAAGGTCAAAAGTTGTTGAGAGAATTTGGCCACTTGACGAACATTTTTTAAATTCCTGTAAGAGATAATTTGGCAGTGTTGTCTCCTTCTCATTTTGAGCACTGACTTATTGTTGTTCCACCTGTCATATCTTCCCTGTCTCAATTCCTTTGTGTCTCACATAAGCGCTAGCCCATAACCCTCATTATTGCCAGGACATTATTTGTTCTATGTTTCCATGCCTTACTCTCTCTCGGCACCTCTGACACAGTGTGAGAAGAAAAGCTGACTTGAGTATAGGTTTTCTTTGTAAACTATGTGAGAGATGGAACAGTCTCCAAAATTGTCTTTCAGGTGTAAGAGATGTCAGGCTTCCTTCATAAACACCTCATGTCAGTGTAATCCTCCTAATGTCCTGGTGAGTTCAGCCAACCCCCTTCCCACAGTACCGTCTTAAACATCGTACACACACACACCATTCAATAACAGTCTCACTGAACAGAACATGTATCATCAATGGTTCATCTATTGTTTTCCAGGCAGGAGGATTATGTTTCCCTTCAGGCACCCTCTCCACCAATGTGAATCCCAGTGTCAACTATGCTCAGTTGGTGAGTCTCCTTCTCTCTCACTTACCCATTTTATTTTTGTCCACTCTGATGTAATCTAATTTGTATTTTGTTCTGTTCACCTTGCAGAAGTTCAGTGTCCAGTCTGCCTGGTTTGTGAAAAACCTCTACTCCTCAGCTGCAGCCTGCCTTGTAATTCTACGTCTCTTTTTTCACCTTTAAAACAAGTGGAATATGCTGAGCAGTGAGACTGTAGCACATAATGACAGATGTGCCATGGTTTTATTAGGGGGTATTAGGATTATTCTGAGGCATTATGTGCGTGATTAGTTGTTTTGTGAAAATATGT